TTTCCTCGCTGGCATCCTCCGGAATTTTTACCTGTGCGCCCGTAAGTCGTTGCAATTCCCGAACCTGCAAACAAGGCGACGATAAAGTCGAACAGGTGCGAACGGCCATGAAATGCAAAGTGAAACGTACGTTTGCACCCCCTTTACCGATTATGCGACCGACTAATTTCGAAGGCACATGTATTTCGGTGCACAGACGAATATCTTCAAAGAATGTGACATTCTGCTCACAGATACGTTTGAACACCCAGAACTGGGCCTGAAAATCCACACTGTAAAAAAACAACGGCTATCAGGTAGAAAACACACTAACCTTGTATTGCTGTATGTCGCTTCCGGTGATGGTTACTTTCCGCTCGTTATCAGACACAACTTTCCTGTCATCCGCTTGCTGCTGAACATTATTTTCAGCGCTACGTGCTGACTCGATTCTAATATGAGCACCAGTAAACCGGCTTGCGTTACGAATATGAAGTCCCTTTGAACCAATAAGAGCTCCTACGACGTTATTTGGCACCCATATATGAACAACTTCGCTGACCGACGAGTGCAGCGTATAAGCAGACGAGGCGGCACCCAACTGCATAGGCCTGCCACTGAGAAAACCGGCACCGGACACGAAACCAGCACCGGGAGGAGCTAATCCTACAGGCGCATATCCAACATTCTCTAGCGGCGGAATCGGGTTAATCAACGGGTGAAGTCCGCCGTAAATACTCTGGGGCTGAAAGGAAATAATCTGATTTATATGTAATAACAATATGTAACAGTATATACGTAACCGTGAGGAATGGTAATGAAACATATTCGAGATTCAGTCAAAGCCGGTAATCCCTGTTACATCGGACTACCATTCAAATTTATATCTAAGCCTCTGCAAATGTCCGCTGTATGTTTAAGTGCATACTGTGGCATTATTGTAGGCTAAGACTTACGTGGCCTTGCGATAATAAAATCATTGCGTATCTGCTAGGTTCAAACTAGGTTCAGTTCATATTGATATACATGTTCATCCTGGGCATGAACGAAGTACCACTGTTGAGATAACATACAAAAAACAGGTAAATAAGACTACCTTAGAAAACTCTTAACAGCACATCTGTTTTCGAAGACAATTATGAAAACGGCAAAAGACGGCCATTTTAATGGCATGTTCTGAAAAACATCATCAGCACAAGCCACAAGTCTAAGAAGACGGTAGTGCCACTTTCAGTAAAGTCTAACAGTGTACTTGGCAATCATCAAAATGATTAGGTGTATTCAT